ACTTTTATAATATTTTATACGAAAATGAATTACAATTGGCAAATTTTTAAAATGAGGAGTTTTCTGACAGCAATGCATGCTTTATATTGGGCTTTATGCAAAGTCCTGCTTAATGTAGATTTATGTACTACAGTGCCAAATGATTCTTCAAGCTGTGTTTTGAATTACTTTAAATTAAGTCAGGCTCCTTGCTCTACTGTATTTATGAGAAACTTTTTTCTGTACATTGAAGTTTTTGCAGCAAATAACTTCTTGATATATTATCCTTAGAATCTCTATTATATAATATAATCATTTAATAATATTCTTTGATAAAGATGCTATATCCCCATATAAATATATATCTCTCCATAGACTGAGAATAATTTCGCTTTCCTATATGGATAATTCCCTCCTTTTACCCATTGCCATCTGCTTAATTTAAGTTTTTTTTTCCCCCAAATTTTTATTGAATGTATTATATTTTAATTAGTCTAATAAAAAGTAACAATACTTACTACATTTAGACTAATAAAATTAAATATAATTAATTTTATAAAACTAAGAAAGCTATACAACACCATATTTAAATAAAAATTTATAGTAGTATATAAATTAAAAAAAAAAAAAATATGGCTCAGATGGAATCAAACTCATGAATACATGATTAATGTAGTTAATACTTTTTAATTATTAAAGAAATAAAAATCACTAAATTATGAAATATTTTAAACAAAATAAATGCAATCATTTCATTATTAAAATTAAAAACAAAAATAAAATGCTTTAAGTAACTTTATATAGATAGATAACAAAATCACATAGAAAAAGTGGGCAAGGGCTCTTGCTTGACTTTCCTGGCACTTGAACAGTAGGTTAAGGAGACCAGGAAAAAAAATCCAATAGTTTTCAATTATATCACAATATGAAATTGAAACAACAAATTTCTTTTAAATTTAAACACAGGCACAAGCTCAAAGTTAAAATTATGTATGATGCCATCTGTTACGAAATTTTATTGAAAATTAATTTTTATATTATTAATTATAACAAAGAGAAAGACATAATTTTGAGAGCAGAGATGACTTTCTAAAACAACTGCAAATGCCAATAAAGAGTGACATTTTCATTAAGTCCAACCCCACTCAAAGATATGACACAACTCTGTTGACATTTAACCATCAAAATTTAACAGCATCAATACCTCATATATAGAAATAATCCCACCATGTTTCAAACTTTTTGGTCAATTCAGTCCTGAAATATAATGCAAAATAAACATCATCACAGAATTTTGTAAGGTTACTATTATTATTATTGGGCTGTAATTTGAAAATTGTAGACCTATAAATTCCCACTGTTGTCCATTTGTCTTTCATTAATCTCAAGAACAGAGTTAGATGAAAGATGAGGCCAGATATGGAAACCTTAGGGCAGGAAGCCTCGATTAACTATATAAGAACTTCCGATGCAAACTGGAATTCAATTATTTCAATTCAAAAATTCCCCCGAAAGGTGTTAGATAGATGAAAAGACTATTGTTAAAGGAAAAACATGATGTACAGGGGCAAGCCACTACTAATTTGAGGTGGTGAGCATATATTTTAAATTAATTAAAAATATGATTTAAAATTACAGCCTGACATTGTGACAATGATAATTGCTCATTTTTATTTATTTATTATTTTTTTACATTTTGAGCTTGTGGGTCACAATGTTGAAAAATGCAAAAAACACTAGGGGGAGTTAAATTTTGACTAATCACATTTTCCCTATGTTATATTCTATAACAGTCAGGAAAGTAACAACATATAAACTATGGTACTTCAAAATAAATTTAAATTACTGTAAAGCTTACATTATAAAGAATCTATAAAATAGATTTAATCACAAATTTCTCTATTTGTTGTAAATATTTTGTTATATATCAAATATATAAAGCATAATATTTTTATCTAAAACAACAAAATATTTAAAAATTTTGCAATGTCTTAATGAAATAAGATTATATCTATTCCATTTATAAAAAATAATAGCATGGCTGATCAAATATAGTTAAACTATTTATATATAGTAACAAGTTTTTGGTGAAATTTTAATTTTTATTCTGGTTTCAAATTTGATATGAAACATTTTCATGAAATTCTGAGTAATCAAACTTTGAAAAAACATTGGTTTCGTACATGAATGATTTTATTCATTTCATTCCATTCTTTTTCCACTCATCCAGGAAACTGTCACTTTTGTTTAAAATTCATAAACAATAATACCTCCATTTATGCAGTCTCCATTTGCACAAATTCACTTTAATGCAGCTGAAAAGTTTTAAATTTTACACGATCAATCAACTAGATATTAGATCCCACTACAATGCATAAATTTAAAATTTTTAGGACTAAATCTGTTAATTTAACTTTACATACATTGTATGTATAGTTGTATTTTGCATACATATTATAATTATGCAAATTTGGGAGTTCCTGATTTAATTTATTCTGCAATCTCATATACATTTGTGTAGTAGTCATATTTATTGTTGTAAAAATTGACAATGGAACTACAGTTAGGAGACAGTGACAAATATGTCTATATATTTAGCTTGGAATGATAGTGTTCTGTAGATTATGATGCTCGTATTTTTTCTATATATTTTCTTTATAATGTATTTAACATATGATAGAGATATTGTGTATGAAATACTGTATGTCTTATGGTTTGTGAAAGGTGATCAGTTTAGCATCTCTGTTGTGTTAGCATCTCTGTTTGTTTAATTATAAACAAAACATTTGTACAACTACATCAAGAGGAATAAAATAAATTCTGAAATTTTATTAAATTTACTTCATTTTATATATAGAGTTTATTATTCTATCACTTACAGGTGCTGTATTATTAAGTATTAAAGTGGAGTTGTTTTTCATAATGTGACTTCATGGCTCCATTTATGCAGTTTTCATTTACATGCTGTTTTTGTGGAACCAATTACTTGCATAAATGGAAGAATTACTGTATAAGAAATTATTGGCACATATATATATTTCTATATTCAAGGTAAATCTGATAGAAAATTTCCTGATTACATCTAATAAATTTTTTCACAAGGCAATGTGATTCACAAATTTTATTTTTATAACAATTATGCAGAATATTAAACTTAGACTAAGGTTCTTATTTTAACTTTATAAATAAATATCATTTAATATATAATAATAGTATAAATTTAAAATGTAATATGACATATTAAAAATTAACTAATATATATTTTTTTAAAACTTCATATAAAATGTTTTAAAAAACTGTCTTTTAATAAAAAATAAATTTAGATTTAGAATCATGCAGAATATGGCAGAATTATTTTTATATATTGCAACCTAGTGATATATTATTCCAATTAAAATATGCTGAACAAACATCTGAAGCAGGATTGAAGTCAAAGGTATAACGAACAATGACTTGTCAAAATTTGTTACAAATATTATAAAATCACTTAATGTTATGTTTTATATAATACATTTAATTTGATCACTCTTAAAAGTTTATAATTAACTCCAGTTTAAACTTAATAAATATTAGTATTTAACATACTCGACAACAAAAAAAGTTGCTATTTCAATGATAATACATCCTATACAATCATTTCATAAATATTTTAAAGATAAGCATATTATTTCTTGCAGGAAATTATTTAAAATAATTTTAGTTTATTATTGATGTTTTAAATTAATAAATGAAGATGTAATTAAATATAACTGAAAAATATTGAATTATAAATTCTGTTCAAATCTGAAGTAAATATAGACAAATAAATTTATTAATGCTACCACTTACATTTTTTCCCCCCCTTCCTTTTTCCTTAAGTATAATATAAAAATAAATTCTAAAGGACAGTTGGTAAATCAATTTAGTTATGACAAGTATCTAAAAATAAACTCCTCTTTTCAAAACTCAATAAATATGAAGTACTTTTATTAGAACAAATATGCATAAAGGTTTTTTGGGCCTATAAATTCGCAATCAGAATAATACATTTTTATAGTGATTATAAACTTATCTTTACGGATCTAATCTTCAATCTAAACAGTTTTTGTATCACGTTTGTCCAAATAAAAGTCTACAGACTTAAAAAAATTAAGGTTTTATATATAATTTTGCTATAATGTAATTTCTGATATTTATTCAATTATTAAGATTATTATTTATTTATTTGTCTAGACTGGTATAATATAGTCAAATCAAAAATAAAAAAAATAATCAAATATGTGAGCACTAAGTTTTAGCTCTGCAGAGGACTTATCACAAACTACTGACACAGTGCATGATAAGATAAATCACACAGAAATGGGCAAACACCAGTTATTTATTGTTTCTGTGCAATTTCTCTGGCTGTGTCAACAACAGTGGCGCACTCAAAATTTAATATTGGGAAACTGAATTCAATGGATTAAAAAAATATCCAATGCAAATGCAATAAAATTCTCACCTTTTACATGACTGCTAATTCATTGGTAGTATAGAAATAGAAGACATGACATAATATAAATAAAAAATTCATTTTAAATAGGAAAAAATTTTGGAAACTTTCCATTATTTGCTTTCTTTTTTCTTGGGAGGATGCCTGTGACCCCTTGGCCCCATAGGTGCACTACCAGTCAACAGCATGTGATAAGCCCTCCACAGAGCCAAAACTCAGCACTCACTTATTCAATTATAGTAATACAAGGGCAAAAAGCAAATCAAAAATAAGAAAAATAAACTATCTGTAAAAAAAATAAAAATAATAATATGTTTTTGTTGAATTATATTAATGTTTATATGTATTTAGTAATTACAAAATATTGATTTTCAACCAAAGAAAATGAATAAATATACTTTCAGACTAAAGTAGCGAGTGAACAATTAGGAATAAAATATTATTATAAATTAATTAAATTTGTATTTTAAAAATAAACATTTGTATTAGTTAAACAGCAAAAGGAAGAAGACGTAAGCCAAATATTTTATTGTGAAAACAATAAACGTACTTCAAATTCTATTTTTAGATCTTCATCTCTAATATTAAATCCAGATAAATTTCTTCTACTTAATCGTTCGAAACATCGCTCCTATTTAAATATCAAACGCCATTCTTAATATAAAAATGCATCTTTGACATCATTTTAAACATTACTTCTCATTCAAATCTTAAGGTATCATTTAATTTCGCGCAAAATTCGAATTTAATGTTTATTTTTCGAGTCATATCGTAAACGCTTACGAATTGTTAATGCGAATAATCTCACCTTTGCTAATAAATTCCAGCGCATTTTAGCGACGGAAGTGTCCGTCTTTCTCATTGAGTTTTCCTTTCTAATGTCAACTGCCATCTTTGTTAATGTCTGGGATGCAGACGAAAATCACCGGAAGAGGGAGTAGTAATGGATGATAGAGACAGGTATAAATAAATAATTTTTTTTTTTCTTTTATCGTGGTTAATTTTTTTTAATATTTTATTTTTTAATTATATTTATAAATCACAATAATAATATGATCCAGGAAACTGTCACTTTTGTTTAAAATTCATAAACAATAATACCTCCATTTATGCAGTCTCCATTTGCACAAATTCACTTTAATGCAGCTGAAAAGTTTTAAATTTTACACGATCAATCAACTAGATATTAGATCCCACTACAATGCATAAATTTAAAATTTTTAGGACTAAATCTGTTAATTTAACTTTACATACATTGTATGTATAGTTGTATTTTGCATACATATTATAATTATGCAAATTTGGGAGTTCCTGATTTAATTTATTCTGCAATCTCATATACATTTGTGTAGTAGTCATATTTATTGTTGTAAAAATTGACAATGGAACTACAGTTAGGAGACAGTGACAAATATGTCTATATATTTAGCTTGGAATGATAGTGTTCTGTAGATTATGATGCTCGTATTTTTTCTATATATTTTCTTTATAATGTATTTAACATATGATAGAGATATTGTGTATGAAATACTGTATGTCTTATGGTTTGTGAAAGGTGATCAGTTTAGCATCTCTGTTGTGTTAGCATCTCTGTTTGTTTAATTATAAACAAAACATTTGTACAACTACATCAAGAGGAATAAAATAAATTCTGAAATTTTATTAAATTTACTTCATTTTATATATAGAGTTTATTATTCTATCACTTACAGGTGCTGTATTATTAAGTATTAAAGTGGAGTTGTTTTTCATAATGTGACTTCATGGCTCCATTTATGCAGTTTTCATTTACATGNAATGACACAATAGACGGCTACGACAAATAAATATTAAAAATTCATCATAAAAAATCTGCAGCTGAAAAGTAAAGTAGCTGTATAATTTAACAATAGATCATTGTTCATCACATTTAAAATTTATCACGTTTCTATTTAACTCACAAGGTTAATACAATAAAAACATTTTTCAAAATCTCAGAATAATTTCTGCAATATTATCAATAACATTTTTTAGATTTTCTTAGGTTCTTTTAACAAATAAGATGCTCGTTTCGATTTATGTACGCAAGTATAACCAGATACAATCAAAAATTAATGTGTGATGCGATGTATAAACTTCTATGTAAGTTTAATGTTTGATAACCTTTTAAAATTTTTGTTTTTTGTATTTAAAACAAAGCAGCAACTTTATTTTGTATATGCATTAAAAAATATAACGTTATATTTAACAATGTAAAAACGTAACGAAAACATTTTGGAATTACGAAAAAAAAACTTAATAAAATGAATCGTGAATTTAGCTATGTACATAATGTATTTAGTTTTTCTTTTTATATCAAAGCCGCATATGGCTAACAATACTAGGGCTTGTGGGCGATTCTAATTGTGGGGGTGGTGTGCCTGGACGCGACGTCACACGAAAAGACGATCTACTGCTAGGAATCACTATAGTATTTGGATATCCGTTATCATTAGTTCTTGTGTTATATTCTCCAGTTTCGTAGTTTTTCCATCTTCCACTAGAACCACGTTTTGGAGAACTACTTATTCGCTTTCTATTTTCTTCTTCCATATAATTCCAACTTTCAAATTCAGCTGGTTTTTTTAAACCAGCCGGAGAACCAGTAACATTGGCCTTTCGTAAAAGAAATTGTCTATGAGACATCATGACATCATCTAATTCACGTTCTGTAATTTCAATAACTTCTTTTTGATTTCTTTCCGGTTGACGTGAGACCGAAGGGATGCCGGAAACGTGAACGGAAGTAGATGCAAGTCCGTTGCTTCTTGAAATTCTACTCTGTTCGGTATCTCCAGGAGGACGTGATGTTACTTGCACTTTTAATATCGTCGGAGATTCACCGTGTCGACCAGAACAATGAGTCCTTTCTAACTGATTCCAACTGCTATTATAACCTCGTTGGGCATCTTTTTGTGATTTATCGTTTATAGATTTTTGTTTCAGTGAACTTTTCTTTTCTGTAAGATCTAAATTACTTTTTGATGATTCGCATTTCTCCTGTAATGAATTCTGGCTTTCTGCACTTCTTGCTGCAGATTCCTTGTCATCAGTTTGATGTACTTGGGCAGTAGTTTCAATAGAAACGATACTTTGAATCAAATTTGGCGGCGGAGTATGTGGTGTTCTTCGTTTCATAGCTGCACTTTCTCCTGCTAAAGAACAAATGTGGGCGTCAAGTTTCAACGATTCCCTAAAGGAATCGTTTATTCCCAAATGTTTACCATTTAAAGACTGAATCGAATCCATTTCGTCCGATTCAGAATTACCATTTCCCAATTCTTTTCTCCTTTTCGTATCTTCGATTATAACTTGAGCTAACATTCTTTCATTTAAAGAACCAGTAACCGGTACTGGTTTAGCTGGAATGGTTTCGGCTTCAAAATGAGATTTAAGTTTTTGGGCTGCAATACCCATACTTTGAGATCGCTTTGGTACCAGACCATGAGCCGGATAAGAATCTTTTCCTATTTGTGTTAGATCATCGATGGATTGGCTACGATAAAGTGGATGAAAAAGACGATGACCTCCTCCACTAAAACTAGAGGAGGCTAACCTCTTAGCATTGTTTTGTTGTTGAATTGAGGACGACTTATCTCTGGGAGATTCTAATTCCAAACGCACATCATAAGGAGAAGCATAACTCAAAATGGTAAGAGCATCCTCATACACCATATTTGAAAAGGACACAGTTACACTAATTATCCTGTCACCTTAAAAAAGAAATTTTATGCATTTTAGGAAAACATTGATTGTTATGTTTTATTTAATCATAAAGACTTACCAGCTTTAATTTGTCCTGATTCACTTGCAGGACCACGATGTAATACATCTTTTACAAAAATTCCGTCTCTCATATTACCACAAATATTAAATCCAAGACCGGTAAAATCGTGTCCTTTCAAGGATACTACGGTCCTTTCTGGTTCCTAAAATTATTTAATTTAAGTAAGTTTTATATAACAGTAATTTTAAATTGTTTTATAATTGAATTGATGATTAATTATTTAATGTTTCGAGCAGATCATTAAATTATAAAATTGACAATAAAATTAAGTATGATATTTATTGCCTTACAATATCAAAATTTAAAATATAAACGCAAGAAGCTATTAATGTAAAATTTGTTTGGCAATTTTTTTTATATTATAGATTTTATTTAGAAATAATATTTCTAGATATTTAAATAAATTTATTTTATAGTCAATTTAACATCTGTCTTCTGATTTTTAAATGATAAAACATTTGCAAAACTAAAATCAGTTTTCCTTGTATATAATTCCTATAAACCTATAGCCTATAAATAATATGGCCAATGATGGCGAACCCTTGACCCGCGTGACAGTATTAAAAAGGTATTGTACCTACATTAAATGTTAAAAAGTACAGTATTAGGTTTTTATACGTTATAAAATATATATATAGTAATACATATAATTATATAATATATATTTAATCTACATACTACATATGCAGACTTAAAATCAAAGTCCCAACAGTTGTCATGAAATGTTTTAAAGGGTTCTAATTACGAATCTCAGATAATTAAACAATAACAAATCTCTCATTAAACAAAATATTTGTTCCCCTTATAATTCGCATTATCTCTTGAAGTGAAAAGAAAATAATAAAGAAATAATATACAGTATTGAGTTACTATATTAATTGTTATTTTTTGACACATATTTAAAAAATTAAATAACAAAAAATACAAATTTTACTTTATTTTTTTATATTACTCAAAATTTAATATTTGATCCGCGATTTGGAATTAATAAATTTCGAATTCAATTTTGACCCACCTTAAAAAGGTTTACAGTTGCTGCTACAGGTTATAGCCTATATTAGTATATTATATAGTCTTATCAATTTATAGAGGCTTTGGGCCTACTGGTTTACGTAGATTATAACTTTAACTACCATCGATTGGAGCATCACTTACTGGTTCTGTTGCTTTCCAAGGGATATCGTATGAAGTAGTTTCAGTGATTAAAATCAAAACTCGTCTAAAAACAAATCCGACAAATATAAAAAAACAATAACTACAGATAGACCTACATCTTGAAGAAAGATAAACTCCTTCCTGATCGCAACAGACAAGATGCGTAAGAAGAGGAAAGAACAATAAATTATAGTTATATATGACTATGTTAAAAATATTCATGAATATCAATGTTAAATCAAGCCAGACATGATGTAAAACGGCATGATACTAAATCGCAATTATATGCTTATTAAAAACAAGCAATATACGCTAACATATGTAAATCTCTAGAACAAGAATAATGAAAAGTGGTGTTTATTTGACCCACTCAATGCATTTAATATTTTAATAAATATTTTAAATGTTTTAAAATATATCTTAATTAAATTTAAAAGTTGTTTTTTAAGAATATATGAGGATTCTGTTTATGTCAAAACTATTAATAAATAAAAATCTGTAGTCATTTTAATCCCATTGATTCTAAATGTAACCTCCAAATAAGATTCAGTCAAGTGCATAAAATATAGATTATGTTCTGTAAATACTGTATGTTATGTATTTTATAAACTAAATATATTTTAACATCAAAAATTAAATACTGCCGAAAGAAAATTAAGGCAGATAATGAAATAACTCCTAAATTTTGATAAGAAAATTAGAAACAAAGTCCAGAAAACCTACAATTAATAATGTAATATAATCATAAGTTATTATTAATGCTTAATTTTTTTATTTCTTGAACAGATCATATCTTACATTGCGATCATTTCAAGATTTTGTAGTCTCCATTGTATATTTAGAAAAATATTAAATTAATAATACTAAAATCCTAAATAAAAAACAAGCAAATTGATCTTCACTCAACGTTCCGGAAAGAACTTTTAAACTCTATTATTTTATTAAAAAAATAATTAACAAACACTTCAATTACCATTATAATTAACATTCTAAATACATCCCATTATGACAGACTAATTTATTTATATTTGTTTTGTTTTTCTTTGGTTTGATTACGTACTGCATGATCTATTTTTATTCATTTTGTTGAACTTAAAACGGGTAGTAGGCCAAAAAAGAAAAACCAGGTAGTGTTACGAGTGGGGAAGAAAAATAAATAAAAATTTTTGTAGTCGCGTGCGATTTATTGATAAATTTTTATTAACTCACCATAGTAAGACACGAATCGTCCATAGTTTTCTGCTTTTTGGTCGTGTAAAAAACGGACGTAAAGGGATTAGATTTCGATGATTTGGCCTTTTTGCCCTTGCTTCCGGTATTCGCCTAAGTAATAATTATACACAAAATTTTAAAATAAAAAAAAACACTTTAATACATTAAAAAAAACACTTAAAATTTACCTTTCCATTGGGTACATTTGAAAAATGTCCGTCGTGCGCTACAGGAAAAGAAAAAGAATTTTAATAAGGACGTGACACTGAAAAATTTATTAATTAATTTTAAAAATCAATTTGAATTTTTTAAACTATTTAAAATTAATTAACTTGCAATGTATTTAAATACGTAGTTAATGACGTCACGACATCCGGAATACAGTAATATGACGTTTGCATGCCAGTCACGTGCACTACGTCGTCTGCTACGTCAAAAAATAGTTTGTCGTCTGCTTTCACAGAAAAAAAGGTAACTTTCCTGTCTTTTACATCCGAATGGTAAACTAAAAAACGTTATATATATAATAAAATAAGTTTACCTTTGTCGGGAGTGTCGTACGCCGCATCATCTTCGTTTCTAAAATACGGATTATCGAAGGCAAAATTCGGTTTGGTCCCGATTTTTTGCACAACTTCACCCCCTTGAACGATGTGAGCGGAGACTGAAACAATATTTTAAACACTTAAAACTCACGTTTAAAGGAAAGAATGTGTGTATTTTTATTTAAAAAGTCATCCACACCATTGACCTCGTTCCCCGACGATTTAAAGGTTATGAACCCCGTGCAAGAATGACAAAAATGAAACGAATAAACTACGTAGATCAAGAATAAGAGTAATCATTGTTTCTACCGGAAAATCACGCATCTACATTGATTACGTTTGAATGTCGCAGGAAGCGAAACATCGTTTGAGGTCAGGAGATCCGCCTCCCTTCCATCCAATCATTAGAAAATCACTATGGTGCGTGACTTTGCGCTTTTATCACTGTTCAAACATTATTGTTAGAAATTATCTTGTCCATGCTAAAATAATGCGTTATTTAATTAGCAAATTTTACGTAGCTTACAAAATACAGACGAGTTGTAGAAATGTTTTCGTTTTTTAACAGCAGGGTGCGTTTTAATCGTTTCTGACTAAGCAGACGATTTTTTTTTCTTTTCGATAATTTATTAATAAAAAAATAATAATAATAATAGGAACCATTTTTTAAAAATTTAACTTTAAATTTAATCATTAAAAAACATTACCGTAATTAATTTCTGATTTCTTTCGCAACACAAAACACGTCACTCGAAACTTACCCGCTGACGTCATTAAGATTGAATCTTACTTCTGTGATGTCATAAATTACACCGTTCTTAAGTAATTTTAGCTGTATAATTATCCCTTTGTCGTCGGTAATAAATAAAATATAAATAAATAGATTCGAGTTAACTCTTTATAGATAAACTTGATTGTTATTCGAGTAATGCGTGATTAATTTAAATCTACTAATGAGGCAATACAGATAAGCCGAATAAATTATAATATTGTTATGCTTTATGGCGCCCGATAAAATGAATCTTTGGCATATATAAATACGATGTTAAGCTTCCTTGCAGTTTTAATACGATTTTCGCGTTAATATATCCTACATTTTTTTTCTAAGCAGATTTGAATATCCAAATAATAAAGCGGTCATGGAAGCATGAAGTCATGCCACATTAATTCCTTACTTAATAATAATTGGTAAATTATTAAAATTGTCGCCTTCAAAAATTCGAAAATTTGAGTTCTCAGTCGTGGGAATTAATCCGCTTCTCACAATCAATATTTAGATTAGTAAGTAGTAAAAAAAATTTAACACATTGTTCTACATTTGACCTAAAAGTTAATCATAATGAGTGAAAGGAAATGATAAAAAAAAAGCATTTAGAATTATAATAGGTGTGGTCATTGTCCCTGGCTAAAATCAGATAACTTTAAATTGTTGTTTCCTATGAGTTTAATTATAAATTTAAAAACATATTAAAATTAATGTCGTATACAAAAGCATATAAGTATATACATGACTACAAAAAAGGTAGAAGAATCAAACAAACATACCTTTTCTCCGTTTCGAAAAATACCAGGCAGCTGCCAAGCTCAAACTACTAAACACCAAAGTGACAATGACAGTAGCGATAACAATGCCAGCTACTCCACCGGCACTGTAGCACCAATTCTCTTGAGCCGTACAGGGTGACCAAAACAGAAAACACAGAAACAATTTTAATAACAAGTGCTTAGCCATGCCAACAACTATACGACAAAACATGTGCTAAATCCATCAGTAATAAATTCCAAGAGACCACCATGTTAAGTCTCTACAGTCGGAGTAACACCGACTCATAGTGAACGATTGCCAAATTAACACATTATTATTTACCTGGAAGCGGTGACATACTCACTCTCTCTCTACTCTTTCATTTGTTCTCAGTTCCTGCACAAAACTTTGTCATGTTTGAATAGACGCATGCGCATAGGTTGGTATGACTGGTCTGTGTTTTTGAATGGAAAAAGCGGCAGACAATGCAGGATTGCCGGGACCATCCACCTGCTCTTAGGTACAGGTAGGGAAGGCAGTCACTGGACCGGTTTGAGGAACGCATTTTATTAAGAGGGTTTACAGATGACACGTGGTAGATCTGTCTGATTTACATCGAAAGATGCACGCAATGTCTCCACATTGGTTCAAATGTTGTGGGAATGCCGTTCCGATATCCTGTTGCCATTTTTATCGTGTTATTTTTTTTTATATGTATATACTGTAGATACGCTTTTTGAAGAATTAATTTAGTAAACAGTATCGGGTTTACCTCCAAAATGAATGGAATGTATTTCCAACTTGGTTTATTGTATTCTTATCCTGTCTAAAAACATTATCTCCCTTTGTTAACATTTTCCTATTCGGATGAAGTACAAAAAAATATACCGATTATTGATTACAGTGATTTTAATGAGAATTAATTTAATATATATACATATACCCGTAACCAAAAACTTGCCACTTTAATAAGTCGCCAACCTTAATTAAATAATTAATTTATTCTTCCATAGAAAATTTTGCTCACACAGCTCTTTCTTTGCTTGCATACTACGTGAAGGATGTTCGAATTATTTTATTTATTATTAAGATTTGAATGTCATTAACAGTAAGGAGCTGTATACATAATTTTTTTGATGGGGTACCTCCATTTAAAATGTCCTTGACCAAACAGGAAAATTTTATAAACGAGTTTCATTTGGCGTGGTAAAGTTTAATTGGGACATTTGATGCGGATATATGGATATAATTCCAAACTTTAACACAAAAGACAAATCCTTTGTGAGTGAAATTAATATCATCCATGTAAACAACCGCTCCACATCCGCGTTCTACTCTTTCTCAGTCTCTTAAAATGAAAAAAAAGTTAGGGTAGATTTTTATTTAAATAGGCCTATATAAAATATGAAATGCACTACAATAATTTATTAATGAAACATATCAATGATATATGGTTATAACTATACGTAGGCCTGTATATCCTGTATATAGAAAGTTTCTTCTAGTGTTTTATATCTATCAAAATATACAGCTGTAATTTAATTTACATAATACTTAGAGAATGTCTTTACTTGTCTATAAATAACAGAAGTTTGTAACACTTCTTTAATAACCGAAAGAATTCGTGCTTGGATTCAAGCCACGCTCAACACGTTCAACAGGTGTTTCATTCCCTAACACATTTTGTTAATTTATAATGCCTTGACCCGACAAAATTTTCGATGTAATTTTTTTAAAAAACGCACTTTTTTCCATATAGTTTCACGTTTATGTGACAGATGGAGCCATGTGCTACTTTCAAATATAATTAACGTATCAATTTTCCCCCCTTCGAAATAAAAGAACTATCGTTAAAATTAAAAATAAGAAAATTACTATCCTTGATGCTTTAAAAATGGATGGAAAATATATGAAAATATTGCAACCGGTTTTCCAAAAAGTGGTACAAATGTCTTCACGGATAGCTAACCAACAATAACCAATTGTTGCTATATTCCGGTTAGATTGTTCGTTTTTATTTCTGATTCTTCGTCTCTGACGCGATGCTATGTTAGATTAACGTTAACCGAGACGTTGGAATTCCAAACACGTTCTAAAAAAACGTATACGTTAAGCAAGTGCTTACGTAATTAGGACTTCCGATCGGGATAAATTACGTGTATTTTATCATAATTCGTTATCATTACTCTAAAAAAATCATTAAATTTATAATAACAGATGGCGTTAGACGTCTATAGAATTAAATCTGAGTCTCAAACTTAATCCCATATTATATACAGTATAAATCGCGTAGAGTTAAGACCAAGGCCATGCAAATGAGGAGTTTGGATGTGTAACTCTCCTATTTGGATCAGTTCAGTTCCTTCTTAGTATACTATATTGTGTTAAGCTACTCTAATATACGACTACCTATATTGTAAAAATTTAAACCTCCCCCACCCTTTGAAAAATCCTGCATACGGGTCTGTTACAGACCCTTATAAGATTTTTACAAGGAATTTTTTAAATTAAATTCTCTTTTTTATATCGACTCTTACGTTGCTTTCTCACAGATATAATCTTATAAATGAATCTTACAAAACAGCGTAATATACGGGATACAAAGCTATAATCACGTAGGTCTATAAAGGTGCGGCTTCGATATGCGGAAGAAACAATAATATTCAAGGACACAAGTTGACATACGAATTCCCTTTCTTTCATTATTTTTTAACGGCTACTTTAGTCGTTTAAGTGAACTATTTTCTAAATTAATGCTGTTGTCCTCTTTTATACATAACATTTCAGTTTGTTTATTTATTTTAGTAAAACCAATTTAAATTATTTCTACCATTCGTATAGAGTTTTAAACGTTATTTGGAATAAAAATGGTGCGGAAATGATGCTTTATGCAGTAAATAAATTCTACCAACGTTAAAAATTGTTTAAAATACTGTATTTTTCAACAATGGTCAGCGTGTATGATCCAGTCATTACAATCAATTTTAAAGTATAAATTATAATAACTAGTATCAAAACAAAGACTTTCTACTATATAAGATTTAAGTATGGTAATTATACACGATGCATTCGAAGAATAAAAATGAATGAAAGAAATATTGTTAAAAATAAAAAATTTCTTATCGTGATTTTTGTTGTTGATGGAGATAATAATAGTTAATGTACGGTCTCAACCTAAATGCAGCTTTAAAATAAATAATTATCCAATAGTTTACACGCATAAATGATTTCAAATTACATAAATGGTTGACTTACTGGTAATAACATTGGAAATTTTATTTTATGTACCATCGATGAAGGTCACTATTAAAATAGATTTAAATAATTTTGCCATTTAAAACGAAGTAAATATTTATAAGTTGAAATCCTGCAGAGAATGACCGTTTAAAAAATCGCTAATGTTCTGTCGATTGAATTTTATTAGCCGTATGATATATTTATTGACACTATTGATTATTCCATATCGATTAAATGCTGTAGTAATGATTTCGGTCACGATAATGAAGAATTTTTCTAAAGTAATTAGTTTTACGGTTTAAAAACAAAACATATTTTTTAAATGTTAGAAAACATCTGATCATCATGATATTTTTAATGAATTAATTAAATTAGAAGCAGCAGATAAAAAGTTTTTCAGATAAAAAAATCGTTTAGTTATTCTCACATTGCTACAATGCCTGGCTGCAATTTTTAATCGTTTTGATTTTAAAAAATCACGTGACTTCTGGAATAGATCGGAAGTTCGTATATTGTTAATCAGGTCCTCCGGCCTCTAAGATTTCCATATCTGATCTCGATTTTCATCTATCTAACTCCATTCTCGAGATTAAGGAAGGACAGACGAACAGACGGATGGCAATGAAAATAATTATGCCAAAATTTGAAAACAAACTGATATTATACATCAATTATGATAAGCATTCTTTACTAAAAATTTTTCCTGCATTTATTCTGTATTCTGTAAAAATTAAAACAAACCAAAAATTTATACTTAAAATGCAGAATAAATCATTTAATTACTTGTTTTACTTCCTTATCATAGCAAAATAATAATTTGTAACTTTATAACTATTGTCATTATTCATAACTTAAATAATAAATATGCTATTTATGAATATTTATTATTATTTTGATCATTGTTAAATTTATAAGTGATGTAATATTTAATTTAAATTTACATATTAAAATTATTTACATAAAAGGTTTTTTTCCCCATAAAGTAATGACATCAAAACATAATTTTCTTGAAAATAACCATTAAAAGTTTTGTGAATGACGCCTGGCCAGTTTAGTCTAATAGGCTCTTATGCCAGAACACATCTGTTTTGCAATCATTAAGTCAAAAATTAATTAGTTAATATTCTTCACAGAATGCTTAGGCGTGTGTGCATACAGTGTACATACAAAGTAAATATAACTATAAGCATAAAACCATTTGAATTGTTGTTTTATTGAATTAAGTTGATGAAAAAGTTTCTTAGACAAGCGTAATCAACTAAGAAAAATATTAATCAAAATAGTAACATAATAAAAGTCAAGTAAACAAGTATATAAATATTTATAAAAAATATTTATATACTTTAATAATAATTAATAATAATAATAATAATAATAACTTTAAAAAATATATATACTGAAAATAGGCTTTTAAAAGGCCTCAATATTAATCAAACTGATTCATAGAACAGTGTGCTACAGATAATACAGAGGTTGCGGCCGAAGTTTTCATCTGTAAAACGTGAACGTCGAACGTCGAGTGCCGCTTACAAGATAGCGACGCTTGACGTTCGACGTTCACGTTTTAAAGATGAAAACTTCGGTCGCAACCTCTTTAATATACTGACTAACATTTGGTGTAAATAGTAATTTATTTTACATATTCATCCATGGAATATTCGTTATATTGCTTAATTTTTAAAATAATAAAAATAGGGACAAGCACTCAAAAATCTGTATATATTGCATTGTGTGTATTTCCATTCATCTCTTTCTGCACTTAACCGATACTCAAACCTCGCCACAAAAACCTTTAAAATGCCACCTTTTTATTCAAATTTTCGAACGTTTTCGGCCAGATTGAATGGCCTTCGTTAGGAACAGAAGAATCGAATGATTCTGAATTTCTATAACGACATTTGTCCTGGAACTTTTTAAATTTTCTTAGATGTCTAGTGCGCAGCTCACCAAAGCACTTTTTTTCCGAATTACTTTGTGAAATACTTTGAGAGACAAACTTTTTCACAAAGTTTTTTCTCTCCTAAAATATTTTTTAAAATGAGACAAATTTTTCTCTACATTGCAAGATGTGATTGGTGCATACTCGAATGCATCGATTTCACTTGGAGAATATTCAAGGTCTACTGTAGTGTAGGCTTACAAGTTTCAGGTAGAATTTCTGCATTTTATTTATTGTTAGCCAATCTGAATTACTTTTCATAATTTCTTTCATATTCTGTTGCAATTATCTTTGAAATTCTGTAGAAAATTCTTAATTTCATAGATGATACCAACAGCTCTCACCAGCAGCTGTCCTCTTTGCTCTCCGGGTCGGCAATATGATTTAAAATATCTCCAAAATTAATTCGGACTAATGTCCGCCTTTAACCGAGAAGCAACACATTGCAACTTTTGCATCCCCAATTGCTGCAACTTCATCAGAATCACAGATTCAATAACCCGAAAATGAAGTAAACAAATCAGCATGTAAGTTACTCGTAATTTTTTAAAATATTTTCTCTCACCAATATTATCAAGTTCTTAAATTTGATTTGCGTAGTAGAATGCAGGTTCAACAATGTACAGTACCTCAAGTCAAAACTTGCCGTGGCGGCCATTTTGAAGTTTCTCTAAATGTTAGAGTTTATCTGAATTTCTGTTTATTCTTGAGGCGCAATTTCAGAAACATATTTTTCACTGCATTGATTGCTGGAATTCTTATATTTTCAGCAAATCGCTGGAGACCATGAGCAACATATGAGCATTTTTGGGTGAAAAGCTTTAAGAATTTCTCTAGCCTTCAGCATATATTCATCATAAGTGCTCTAGGGATCAGGGTTCGAGTACGTAGGAAGATCAGAAATTCTTATGGGTTATTTCATTGATCCTTATACATCAGGCTCACCTATCACAAAATGACCACCACATTATGAATATGATGGAATTCATTATGGGCTTTAGAATTCTAACATTTTATATATTTCAATTTGTATTTGATAAATGTAACGTATCATTTATCAATATCTTTTAAATCATAAAAAAACTAAAATGTAATTTTGCAGTTATTTCATGTGACTTGCTTAAATTGATCTTATTAAACTATTTCCTTT